GAGGACAGACACAGGGGAGGCCTGGAATTTCTCCTCCTTAAACATCTGAGGAGTTTAAAGATCAGGCATCACAGAAATGCAAAAGAAAAAGTTCTACCACCAAGCAGGATCTTCATAATCCTATAATGCATAGCCGATGTACCTTCATTACCTGTGGAGGACCCGAGACTTCTACCTCATGGTCTTCCTAAGCACCACCTTTTGTTTCACATTCTTCATTCATAATTTCCCCTGGCAAGTGTAGTTCAGATTTTTAGCCATCATTTTAGGTAATAATTTCAGCTAACAGTTAAATTGTTATTGATGCTTTTTTTTTTAATTTAAAAAAATAACATTTAGCTATAAAAATCAATTGCTATCTCAACAATAAGCTAATCAACTGTTTCTTTATTTTTTTATTTCAACCTTTTTTAACATTATTTGGACATTTTATTCCTTCATGCATTCATACCAGCTGCTATTTTGTAATCCATATGCATTAGTTTTAGTTAACTAGTAACTGCTCAGCTCAGACTGGTTTAAGTCCCTTGTTTGTTCATTTATGAATAATTAGCTAATATTTCCATTACATGCATGGGTAGTGCAGAAGTGCTCCCCTGGGTACCTCTGTTTAGATTCTTTTCTGGATGGATCCAGATACAGCGTTTAGGGCCAAACCATAACAGTAAAAACTGATAGATTTATAATCTGAGTCCACATAACTGTTAATTAAAACCAAAAAAATATTTTAGTATTGAGAAATGTGCATTGTTTTAATTTCTTGTCTTGCTAGGATATCCACTGTTCCGTTAATGTGTTTTTGTTAATGGGTGAACTGGTCCTTTGAACAAGTAGGAATCCCTGCTGAGATTATAACCCTCTGTTAGTGTGCAGGCGACCAGCACGTGACCTTAGTTAAAGGGCGGCTCTTATAGAAGACATGGTTCAACTACACATAAGCAATTTTGTCAAAAGCACCTGTTCCTTTTAAATGAATAAAAACAGGTTGTTTAACGTGCACGCCTATTCTTGGCACATTCTAGTGCACCTTAAAGGCTTTGCTGTTTAAATGTAGGCCTGATGCATTCAATGCAAAGACTTTAACTAGTCTTGCAGTAATTTTCTAGCTTCCAGCTGTGTTGTCTTCTTCTTTTATGGTTTGTACACATATTAAGGACACATATTACTTTTCACATTTTCACATGTTCATGATATGGAGATTGCCTTAGTCTAAAAGACTGATGAATGTCCTGCATTTTTTAATAAATAAACTAATCATTTTCTAGTTGTAGTGACAATCTTGACAGGGGGGGATGCATTACACGTTGGACATGCTTCACTGTCTGGCAAGTTCTAATGAAAATTTTAAATTGCGTGTCTTTGACTCGCACGTGAATACACCCCCGGGGTAATTCATTGTCATCTTTAGAAAAATAACACTCCTGGTGATTCATTTTCTTTCACGCAGTTTCTTCTTTTTGTCTGGATTTAGAACGTCACGGAGGTTTGCTATCTGATTTAGTAAAGGAAACATGAAGGGCTTAGTTAAAAGAGCAAATCTTGCTGATGGGACTCCCCACAGTCTGTGGATCGTGCAGAACAGCTAGGTTTTTGTTCATGTAAAGGATGGATGGATTAGGCAGGGAATGTACCACATGATGTTTCTATTCTGCTGAGATCGGGTGAAATTTAACTTTAACTTTTCTGGGGGAAAAACAGCAAAACCTCTGCAAAGTCTAAGCTACACCATAATGAAATGCACAACCAAATGCCTGACAGAGGATTTCACAAGCTTTAGGCTAATCATTATCCATCACAAGACTCGAGTCTGTTATCCTAAAGTTTATTACCCAAGTCGCTACCACAAACTTTGGGTTTGTTTCGGTCTGCAAGACAAAGATTATTGAGCTTGTCTGACCAGCGCTCCAGACTTTCAGTTCTTTCTCAAACATTTTGTGATGGACTATGTTGCACAGCAATGCTTAAAGCTCAACTTCTCAGCCCTTCTGGAACTCTCTCGCTGAGCCTGGGATCTCAGAACTCAGTTATCTTTTTATAAAGTAGATAAAATCTCATTTTTTTTAACTTGCTTTAGAGTATTCTTTTGTCTTTCTGTCTTGTTGTGTGCTTTATTACTTACTCTTGGGAGTTATTTCCCCCAAGAGATATTATTACAATGACTTATTTAGTCAGAAGCAAACTTCTTATCATATGATTAAAGATAACAGTTTCCTTTCATCAGGATGGAGAGCGTGAAAAAGCTTGGCCTTGTGTGAAATGAGCCATACTTTCCTTCATAGGGTAACCAGTTAACAGAGCTAACCATCTTCTGCAGTTTTTATGAACTCTTTTGCATTAAATGTGTGTTGTTGAAGACTGCATTGCTCTCCTGGCGACACCCTACCAGGGCTCCAGGCTGTGGCGGTGTGAGTGTCACCATTTCACATGGTTGCATTTGTGCAAGTGCATGATGATCATTAGTCTGTTTCGGTGCGCTGCTGGCGCAGCCAGCTACCGTCACTGTGGTTGAAAGTAGTACTTTATCTCTTTTTCATGTGCTTAGCAGGTGATGATGAAAGAGTGAAACACTCCATTTAAGCTGTTGTAGTGTTTTAAAGATGAAGCAGTCTGGAGCTGATTACTGTTTGCCAATGAAAGGTCCCGGCTCAGACACTTATGATGAAAGGAAGTGCAGGTGAAGGGAGGAAGAAGTGGAAATGTGAGAAAGTGCAGAACAGAAAATGTATATCAAATTCTATTAACCATATTCATGAATGATGTCCATTAATAAACTTTTGGGACAGGAAATTTTACTGGTTCCCAGAAAAGTGGGTTCCAGCCTGAGCTCCAGCTCTAATGAAAGATCTGTGCTGAAATGGATAAATGTTCTTCTTCAAGTAATCAGTTCTGAGAAATAAATCCCTGTTGATGCCAAAGTTTGTGTAACCTTTTGCTTTTTTTTTTTAATTCCTGGATTTTGTCTTTAGCACTCCCTTAAAATTTTAATTTTAAAGTGCAGCCACCTTTATTTTCCCCACCAAAGGTTAGGGTTGTGTAATGTTTACACTTGATCTACACATTGTCATTTAGTACTGCATCACACCAGCTACACATAAGTAGAGCGAAAATTGAGTTTTATAGTTATAGTTGAAATTGCTAAATGATAAAATCAGATAATGATAGAAATGTTTGATTTGAGTTTTGCTGCCTCACGTGTCAGCCACATTGATCACGAGGCGGATTTTGTTCTTTTGTAGCACCAGTGTTACCAGTGAAAAAGTTAGTGTAGGCCCCAGTTTCTATAGTCCAGACACACATAATCCTGCAGGCAGGGGTCAGTTGCATCGTTAGTGACCCCAGGCCGAGAGAGAGTGTTACAGGGTAAAGTTGTCAAGCTTGTGTCAAGACATTTCCCTATATCCATGTGGGAGCTTTATGGAGATGACCTTCTATCAGCAACTGAAGCTGCAAGCAAATGCCAATAACTAAGAAAGACACTTACGCGAACCTCCTGTTCCTTTTATCGCTAAGATCCCATTAGCAGTCGTCGAGGGTCTCTGTCAGCCAGCCCCACGGCGTTATGAGAAACCAGTCTGGACAAGAAAGCGAGGCTTGGATTACTGTGTACCCACAGAGCACTGAAAACAGGCGTGTAAACTAGACTGAACAATAAAAGGCACCCTGTAGACAAGGGACAACTAATGCACAGACAATGGGTTATGTTGGAGCGCTTAAGCTTGTGAAAGAAAATGGGACCAAGAATTTGCATTAAGAGATGATATTGATGATCAAAAAAATGGACATTTCTCTTTCTTTACATGAGTGTTGACTGTCATTTGCAGATATTCCATACAAAAATACAATTACGCCAATAAATGACTGTTGTTAGATTATATTTAAATATAACCACACCACAATGGCAACTTCTTTTCAGTAATTGGTTGCAATGGACCAAGACTAATTCAGTCTTTGAGGGATCTCAGCACCGCTCCTTGTGCTTCAAGCTTGTAACAGTATATAATTGAATCTTTTTGTTGGAATGTGACCACAGTTTACATTTTTTTGTAAGTCTGTGGTTTTCATATTATCGTAGATTAACAAAGCAAACAAATCAAGGGCAAATTGCTCCTGTCTGTAAAACACTAGAAAGCATCAGTATTGTGCTGTGAAAAGAAAGGCTGCTGTAATTTCAAGGTATCAGTCAGCGGGAGAGCTCGCTTTTCATTGCTGTGACAAAGGGGGAAGGAGGAGTTAGGGGAATAAATATTGCCAGAGCAGCCAATACGGAGACCACCTCCTCCTCCTGCTTTCCCTCTCTGCACTCTTTTGAATGGGGCACTCCTCTTCAGTTCTCCTCTCTGTTTAGTGAAGTGTGTGTGGAGACAGAGCTGAAGGAAAAGTGTGTGTGGAGTGACTGTGTGGACATGTCATAGTTCACTCTGAGTCTAATCGAGCCGGTGGACGTGGTTAAGACTTGACATTATGGTTATGATGAGGATCCAGTTTGGACTTGTGATTTTGTTGGTTCAGTGGGTGGTCCACTCTGATGCCTGGCTGTGGTCCTGGACTGATACGGCAACTTCAGCCCCAGCGGTAGACCCCGAGGGATCTGGCAGTCCAGCAGGTAGTGGAGAAGCGCCGTCAGAAACTATTGCGAAAATTGGAGAAGAGATCATTGCTGAAGGACATCAGATGGAAAAAGCTGTGCAGACCTTGGATCAGACTCCTGAGGCTCTTAAACTGAACACTGTAGGGTCAACAACAGAACCAGAGAATGAACATGAGTCAGAAAACTTTGCTGCAGGGATGTCATCACACACAAGTAAACCTGGTAATGCCACATCTTCACCAATAAGTTCTGAAGGATCTGAAAACTCAACCTTTACAGGAAATGTAACAAGACTCAGATCTGACTTTGGATCTGAATCTGCATCAGACAATGGGTCTGCAACAGGAACTGAAACTAGCTGGCGATCAAGATTTGGAACCCACAAGGCTCAAAAAGGTGCAGTAACGAACACCACTCGTAGTGAGTTAGATGGTAGAGTTAGTGGAGATGAGGACCACAGTCTTGGCAGCACAAAATCAGGGCAAAGTCTCGAGTCCCCTAACAACACGAGAGGAAATGGAAACAGTAGTTCTAGTTCGAATGCTATTGACTTCAAATTAACAATATATTCACATGAAAGCCAAGAAGATTTATTAACCCCAACTGTAAGTTACAACTCCCTAACGACTATTGAGGTATCTAAGGATCATCAACAAGTGAAAGTTACTCATTTACTAAGTGGTAAATTTATGGCTAACCAGAAACTTGTATCTAACCAAGCATTACAGAGTAGCAAAGCTCCACTTGCCAGCCAGGTACTTTCTACAACTAAATCCCCCCAAATCTCTAAAAGACAACCACAAATAGATAGCAAGAGCCCAGACACGACCTTAAGATCTATAGATTTCCAACCCAATAAATCACTGATAATAAGCCAGAAAACTGGTCACATCCCAGATGCTACTCAGTCAACAATAAGTGGGAAAAAACTGAACCAAGCAATCTTGTTCAGCCAGACAGTTGCAGTTAGTGAGCCAACAACTATAAAACAACCAGAAGTAGGTAGGCCAGCACTGGATGCTGAATCCCCACAATGCTTGTTGCTAGACACCGCTCTTTCTTTCTGCTCCTCCATGGCTGGGCAATGGTTTGTCGTGCCCAATTACTTCAACCAGAGCAGTGTGGAGGAAATCCAAGCACTCCTCAATGAGTGGGCTTGGCTGTTGAATTCTCAATGCCATCATAGCGTGGAGTGGTTTTTCTGCCTCCTTTTGGTACCAAAGTGTGGCTCTTTGGCCCCGCTGCCTGTGTTACCTTGCCAGAGTTTCTGCGAAGTCTTGCGGGACAGTTGCTGGACGCTCCTGGATGAGGGACGCCTCCCTGTGGAGTGCCACACTCTACCTGATGAGGAGGAGGATGGGTATCAGTGCTTGTCAGTTAGTAACCAGAAAGGTAATTACTGGCTCAAATGAATCTTGTTTTGGGATTCATTTTGAACCAGTTTTAAACCCCCACCCCCCGAGTCCGTCTGGTATTTTTCACACTATGAAATACCCTCTCAATTAATCAAGATTTGTCCTTGTCAGCACCGAATGAGATGTATTAATTAATGATTTCCCATCCCAAAAGAGCATGAATGCTTATTTTTAACTTGAAGTCTAACAAGCATGATGCCAGTACTTTGTTTAACTTGCTGCATGTATATGTGTGCTGTGTACTGTATGTGACTTACCTTGTGAAGGTCATAGTATACCAGCACCCCCCTGCACGCACGCACACGCACACACACACACACGCACACACACGCACACACACGCATGCATTTCCTTTTTGAGTAATTATATTCAAAGGGTAATACTTTGCTCAGATGATAATTATTTGCTTTATTACAGTAATGTTATATGTAATTATATACTCAGTCTTGCCAGATGAAATAATTTCAATTCAAACAACCTTTCCAGTTTAACTACAAAGCTCTTAAAGCCAGACTGTAACACAAGAAAACACAAGTTTGCAAAAAGATCATTTTGGCTTTGCAATTATCTGGCATAAAATACAAATGTAATTATAATTATTTAATCATATTTATATAATTTTCTTGTTTGTTTGGTTTTTTTTTGCATTGCATTGCATTGCAAGACTAAAGAAATTGTAGATGCCTCTAATGAATGCATCTGAAACTGCAGAAGGCAATCTTCTCTGATATGTGCATGAAATGTATAACTTCAGCATATCTCTTTTGACAGTGAGTGGTTTGCAGGCTTGATGTGCGTTTGTCTGTTTAGGAATGGACACAGTAGCTTGGCATGCATGGGAAGCACTCATATTTGCATCAGTGCTTTTTAGATATGTGTTAATTTTTAGAACAAAATATTTCTCACAGCTGGACTAGGATGATATATTTCAACAGGTAAAACATTTTAAAGGTGGAAATAAAAAGAAAGTAAAAGCAGCTGTTTCTCTCCTGCTGTGGTTGCACAGTTTAAAAAGGTGCTTTATAATCAATATTTTATAACAAATGATAGGATGGTTCTGTCACTCAGAAGTGTTAAGGTGTAAATTTCCAAAATTAACTAGTAGTTACAAATTGCTGATGAATATTTAAAGATTATAAGGACCAGTGTGCACTCAGCTGTCCTCTCAAAGACTGATATGTGCAGCACATGCCCCTAGTGACCATGAAATGCTGGAAAAAATGACTCATCTGTTTATTGCCAGTGGGCACCGATTCATGAGAGAAGTCTAACTCTGTTTTAGATGATCTTTTTCTAGAAAATCTTTTTTTAAGCCTGTTCCCTGATGCTGCACTTCTGCCCTGTCTCCCAACACTCTCCGTTTGTATCTCTGGGAGTTCAAGATTATGTCTTTTTACAGCTTCAGTATCTCTGTGGCAGCTTGTTCCACTGACAGACATGAGTGAACAAGATGTTTCTGGTTCCTGGACTAAGTGACACACATGAGCCTAAATACATTTGAACTGTTTTACTTTTGGTTTATTGGCAAATGAAGTCATGGAGGATTAGGGTACCTTTACTGGTCGTCAAACTTAAAACATTATTCTGCCACAACCGCATGCACGTTTTTTTTGTGGGTTTTTTGTGTTTTTTTTTTTTTTTTTAAATGTTGTAGACACAGTAATGCGGAAAATGCAGACAGGCCTTCAGCACACTGGAAGGATCAATCGTGTTGCCTTCTTTATATCCTGAGGGCAGGTTTTGTTGCAACTCTAGAAGATAGTTCATCACCCAAGCATGCACGTTGCTTGTGAAAGTTGCCTCAAGGTATAACCGGAGTGCTCTCAGTTACTCTAAATCATTCTGGGATAGATTGAAATCCACTGCAGTCAACACCATCTGGTATGACTCAAACAACAATCCACTGAAGCACATGGCTTGGTTAGAGTGATGGCTGAATAGATGTGATGAAAAGCATTGCTCTGCTGTAGAGTTACTACTGCACCTATAAAGTCTCCTCAGCCCCAAGTACTAAGGATATGTAATAAACTTTAAATTCTACTGTATGCTGCCTGTAAACAACTGCCTACTGATTTTATATTCTTCCTAATAACTAAATATGTCTCTTCCTGTTTCTCACTGCAGCAAGGTTACACATACTGTAGCTGGCCAAGAAAATATTTTAAAGCCAAAAGTGCTTTATTTCTCAGTTTATTTGCCCAGTATCTTTCTCTAAGACTGTGCCCACCTGCTTACAAGCCTTTCAGCTTCTAAACAGAGCCCTTACATGTAGTATCTGAAAAGCCTCAACCCCACTTTACTATTTCAAGTTTGGGAGGAGGGCAGTCATACTCTCTATTTTGTCTTTGACCTTAAACCAGCACACTCCTACGTCATGCAAATATAACTTGTAACGCAAATGTTTCATGACATGCTGCCATCTTGGTCAGTTGATATTTTGGGTGAATTGAAGACAGACCCACTGGCATGGGTTGAAAAATACAAAGGAACAGTTTATACACTAAAATTACTGGCTGCAGTCTTGATGCATCCAAGTGGGAGATTCATGTGGGGAGTTTGTTTGAGGGTGGTGGGAAGGGAGATTGTTTTGCTTTTTGGCCTTTTTAGTGATGATTTGCATGGTTGTCTCTTCCCAGCTTGAAAGACGAGCAGTCAACCATGTCAGGCTCTGGAGGTCAAGCTTAGTTAATATTTAATATTAAACCATATTAATTTATAGCAGATTGGAGTTTTTATTGGAAATTACAAGCTATATGGGCTGTGCTGACAGACCTACATGTTACTTTTTTTTAATGCTACTTAAATGTCTGTGAACATTTTAGCTTATGTTTTTTAGCTAGTGTACCTTCTTTGGTGTTCTGTATGTTTTTTTAACACCATGGTTCTACTGAGCTGAGACTGATGTTTTATCTTATGACAAGAGGAAGGCCCAAAGCTGGCTGCAGTCCTTCACTACACTGCTTGCCAGGGAATCCTTTTGACTTGGCTCTCAGGAGGGTGCCAATTATGGGCACAGTGTGGTCTGACTTCTTTGCTGGCAGAAACCCGTTGCCCCCTCCGGTTTGTGTTGCAGTAGTACAAAATGAGAATGAGGCTGTGTTGCAAAAACAGAAAAGAACAAAAGCACCGGGATGTTTTAAGCTGGTTAAGTTCTTAAAGTTTTTAATGGTTTACCAGAGTGATGTAATTGTGAAATTCTGGTACTGGTAACCATTTAGATCCTAATCACGCCATATTTGAACATTTAGCTAATTCAATATTATATCCATAAATGTCTGTTCTTCTGATGGGCTCATATGTCATAGTCAAGAAGGCCAATACGTTGGCTTAAACTGTCCCATCAACATCAAGCTGACACGAACATGGATACAGATGTTCAGCTGTTATATCCTGTGCATGTTTGAGGTGCTGTCTCTACCATTTGTATAGACGCATTTGCATTTTTTCTTTCTGTAGTTAAAAACACATCTGTGAACACAGCAGCATGGGGCAAGGGGGTGTATTGCCTAAAACATGTTACTTCACAGGTAGAGAACTGAGCTCTTTTCCAAAGAGTGAATTTCACAGCTGGCGGTAGACTCGTGCTCCTTTTTGTGGTTTAAGAATTACAGTTTAGTCTTCAGGTTGAGTCAGGATAAAATCTCCTTCCTGGACTGTGATGTGGGTTTGTTCTGAGCATTCGATTTAAAAAACAAAAAGTGGACTGCAGAACGGAAAGAACTTTATTATTTATTTATCTAAAAAAATCAGTGTTTAGTTTTTATTTCTTAAAACTACATTTTTTCTATATTCATGTAACTTAAGACTTTTTTCAAAGTTCTCAGAGTATCACACATCCTTGACAAGAAGAAGATTAAAACAAATATTATACTGTTTTAAGCAACTGTGTAGCTTTATATTAAACTTCCACTAATCATGTGATCATGTGAGCACAATGAATTTGCTTTACTTTAAATTGTCTGAGAATTGCTTCACATATATGATTCATGCTGCAGATGCACAAGGATTATGGTGAAAAAAAATCATGGGACTGTAATTTCAGCTTTCAGAGATGAACTCTGACCCTCCAAACACAGGGTCAGACCACTGCCCCGCCTTCTGTACACTGAGGGGAGAGATCGTTGCCCTCGTCTCAGCAGGCCTCAAGGGATGTTTTAAATGCTGATAGATTTTGTTGGGAAAAGCCGCACAGTTTCTCACTGTCCAGATGTTTGAATGTTTTCCTATGGTTTATACAGGATCTTGTGCTCTCCAAAGCTGTGCGTACAGCTGACAGTGTATATACAGCTTTATCAACAGGGTACCACAAAGTCTGCTACACCGTCTTGAAATGTGAAGAAATGAAAAGGAGTCAGTAAGCGGTCTTCCTGACAAGACAAACTAGCACCGTAAACCCTGCAGTGCTCCATTCATCACAGATCTTTTCTATTCCCAACTGACCTTGAAGCTGTCAGCGTTTAACAAAAGCTATTTAAGAAAACCTGAATTGAGATTGCACTTAAAATGCTAATGGTGACCGCTCTGAGGCCCCCTACAACTTTTGATGTCTGAGATGGAATGGCTGGTTGGCTCTTTGCTGACAATGCAGACACACTAAACCAGATTCAGTAAAAGCATTCCTCCGAAATCCTAAAGCAGGTCAAACCTTTCAATCAGCTTTAGATCTGAAGATGACATTTTAAGTCTCAAAATGGCATTAAGCACAGTTGCATCACAGTTGCATCAGGCTGTAAATGGAGATACCTTTTTTGGTCAATTCTAAGCATGGCTCAAAACAGTGCACATCTGGTCGGTGTAGCTCATTGCTAATAGGTGAGATGTTTTGCTAATTAGGGGTTTGGAAAGCTCGAGTCTGTGCATCCGTGTTCCAACAGCATGTCGGCTTTTTATTTGTTGAAGGAATCAAAATCAGATGCTTGAAATCCAGGTGAAAGAGAAATTGCGAGGAGTAGACGGTGAGGTCATATCCTCAGTTTGCACTGCAGAGAATTGCTGCATGCTGAAGGACAACCAGGATCTGTGTACGCATTCCACCTTATTACAGACCTTTCATTTTAATTTGCACACAAATCAAATCATTCTCTCCACTTTGCTTGCAGAAAAAATACATTGCATGTTCAGTTATGCACTGTAGCTGCATTAAAACTTCAACTTCCAACTGCTTCAGCCCCCAAAGCAGAAGGATTTACAATTCCCCAGATGATGAATTTCCCCTTTGAATTATTACAAGGTTTTTACCTTTTTTAAAACCTCCTTTGGCCGATTATGCACAAGACAGCGAGCCAGGATCAGACATGTCAGCACATGCCCACTGAAGGGACCCTCAAGGTGCCTCATTCTGATTTTATCAGAGTAAACATCTGGTCAGCCGGGTGCAAACCACAGTCAGTGACCTACGTCTGAGCTATTCTGAACCTGGAGGCCGTTGTGTCATCCTGTGGTGATTTGTTTCCCTTTCTTTTTTAATTTAGATGGGTTATACTGAAGTTTTGATTGTTTTGGGACTGTAAATTTAATTATTAGTTTTGATGTGTTGGCTTGTAATATGGCCTCTAACCTTCTAAATGATATAACGACTTTGGCTATGACTAAGTGTTTCCCAGGCTCCAGTAAAATATTTATCAGTCTTTGGACTTTACTATATATGTCTGTTGACATGCATATATGTATGTGAGTGTACATCTATTAATGGTCTCATCTGCTTACTGATAAATCTGCTCTAGAAGTCTGATTGGTGCAGAGAGGAACTGCACAATGGAAGGTATTTTTATTGCCGTCCTGTTGCAGCTTGACTGGGTTCTCTGTTAGCGCAGATTCAAATAAATGCATCTGCAGTCCTCCGATAGTGAGCAGAATATTCAGACTGGTGTTTATGATGGTACTGAAGAGAGCGGGATCTTCGGCTCAGATAAAATATCTTGTGTGTTTAGGCTCTCGACGCAGCCAACTGCTGATCCAATTGATCTCCAGCACTCAGGCAGTGGAGAGGCTTTGAACTGAGCGATAGAGCTCGCTCGTTAGTCACCAGGTGGTAAACCAAAGCATTTCTTCAAAGAATCAGAAATGCATCACATGTTGTCCAAAAACAGTCATTTTGGTCATTCTGTTTTTAACACATGGAAACATTTTTTTCTTTTTTGAGGGGGGGATCAAAGAGCAGAGGTTTGGTTTGATGTCAGTACATCAAAATCTGTGTCCACAGTGCATGTGCATGAATACACATTGCTCTTTGTGTTTTTTTTGCCTTTCTTAAACACTTTAAATTATGCACTGACTTTGCCAGTGTCGCCCAGGGTGATGGAAGTGTCAGCACAGACATGCCGGAGGCCCAGCTGTTGGTCCCTGCAGTGCCCCAAGTCATGACATCTAGCAGATGTCATGCAAGTTTTGCGTGTTTTTTTTTTTTTTGTTTTTTTTTGTCAGTGTCTTCAGGAATGATGCATAAATATTCATCTGTTCCATAGTCTGCATCAGGCTTTTCATCTACTTCCACTGTGCAAGAGTAGAGGATAAACCTTGACAAGGTTTCTTTCTTTCTTACTTTAGGAAGTTCTTGCTTTTGGTGTGCAGGACTTCCAACGTCTGAGAAAGTGTTCCTTTTCTTACTCTCGCGTTTTCCCTTTTTTGCAGATGTTTTGCTTTCCATATTTTCAAGTAATAAAATCACTTGTTTGTTTGTGGTCCCTTGAGAGTAGCTGCTTTCCCCGGGCTTCTAGGAAAAAAAACATGGTTTGCTAAAAGCAGATGTGGTACCATTTACATTCTCACATACATTTCTTTACAAAGGGCATTGTGACTGATTCAGCTGCAGTTAGTGCAAGTACCCGTCCTGCCTCCATCACAAACATCCACATTTTGTCACCTACCAACAGCCTCCTGGTCTAACCCCTACTCTGCCATGCTGCCCTCCCTTTAAACCTCTGCTGTTTTATGCTCACTGTGGCCTGACATCTTGTTTCTCTCCCTTTAGAAGACAGTGGAGTCTCCCTGCTACAACTGATTGGAGATCCTCCTCCAAGTGAGATCACCCAAATCTACGGACCAGACAACACCCCTAGTTTTGTCTTTGGACCGGATGCCAATACGGGCCAGCTGGCACGCGCCCACCTCCCAAACCCATTTTATCGAGAGTTTTCCCTCATGTTCAACCTGAAACCCACCACTAACCAGGGCGGGGTCATCTTCTCCATCACGGATGCTCGGCAGAGTATCATGCATGTGGGAGTTAAACTGTCAGCCGTGCAGGACAACAACCAAAATGTCATTCTGTACTACACCAAGCCCAAGTCAGCTCAGTCCTTTGAGGCAGCCAGGTTCCTCGTGCCCTCTATGACGAACACCTGGACCCGTTTTTCTCTCGCAGTGATGGACGACAAGGTGCTATTCTACTTCAACTGTGACACAGACCCTCAGGTGGTGCATATCGAGAGGTCAGCGGAGAACATGGAGCTGGAAAGTGGTGCTGGCGTCTTTGTTGGGCAGGCTGGAGGAGCTGATCCTGATAAGTTCCTGGTGTGTAAACAGGCTTTCACCTTTTTAACCAAAACACTGATATAGTAAATACAATACATTTATTTTATATCCTTTCATAACAGGTAAAGAGCTATCTGTCGATTGTGCATCGAGTAAATCAGACTGTTGCATTCCTAAACTAAAGCTTCATACAACCAACATTAACTTAGAGACCGGATTCCTGCTGCGTGAAGTCTTGGAAAGGTGCAGATCAGTGTTTTGATTTTTCACGGTTGTTATTATCCTGTGAAACATTTTGGCTGAATAACTCTCATGTGATCCAATTGCTCAAATTGCCTACTCCAAACCAAAACATTAATGTCTGTATCGCATCACCATCATCTGTAGATTCTACAAATAATTGGAAGACCTCACAGTAGTGATGTAATTAGTGCCAGTCGTTTGACTGGTGTACATCTCAGCGGTTGGCCACCACAACTGGCGGCCTTAGCTGCAGGGGTTGCAGTAGTTCAACCATGGCTAATTACACATTTTTCATTCTGCCTCTGAGCATGCAATTATTTTAAGTTTATCAACACAAAAAACAAGAGAAGAACTCAATATAAGAACTGAGTTATTTTTCATACTTGAGATCTCAATCAATCATTGCAGAGTGATTGTTTTATATCCATGTAATGCAATTATGCACTCTTTAGTAACAGTTGTGATTAAAATCGCTGAAAAGATTTATATCTTTGAGCCTTGACAATTCAACCAAACCCTTTTGGGTGTGGAACAATCTTTCATTTGTGCAATTTTGTTTTTGGAAAATAAAAAATGGAAGCTTTTTAGATTTGAATTTCAACACTTAATAGACAACACTCATGAAAGTCATGCATGACCTTATATTAATAGACAAATATAAGTATAAGTGAATCATTTTTGTCCCAGTTTCCACTTTTTTTAAGGTTACATCCATCAAGACTGACGGAATCTCCTACGTTCCCCTGGAAACTGATAGAAAATAAAATGAAATGGAAAAGAAATGTAGAAAAAGGGAAAAAATGATTTGCCTAATATGGGCACTGTTTTCAGCTTCGTCCCAGACTGCTCTCAGACTTGTATATTGGAAGCTTTCTGGTTTCGCTCTGTTGTGGTATTGACCAATCACGTTTGAACAGTGCTTTGGGCACGGACATCAAAATACCAGAAATGTAATAGTCCGTACCAACATCAGCAGATTTACATGATTCTTGATACCCAATCTGTGCCGTGGTTCTTTTTGGTAGATGCTGCACCACTTCTTTAAAAGTTCGAGGTATATGAACACCAACACGAATGTTTTATTCATTTCAAATTTTATTTGTCACATATATAGTACATAGTACAACATGTAGTGAAATGCTTGTGTCTGAGCTGCGGAAAGGCTGCAGACATAGCCGCGCCAATCCAGGCCTTGGTTCTAGCATGGGGGGGGGTCTAGCCAGGACCCTTATTGGATACCGGGTGGGAATTGAACTTGCAACTCCCCCTCCAAAGGTGTGTAGTCTAGCTGAGTTAGCTCAGACATTTATAAAATGCTCTCATCAGTTTGTCTTCTCAAAGAAAATAGTAACATGCATTTCAGGACCCCATTAAAAAAGATCACACTTTCAATGTTGTTAATACGAAATAAAAGTCTTCCACCTTAGATACTTTGAACTGACTTTGAAATATATCTGAAAAGCATGACAGCATCGTGCATACATATACCATCTACGATAACTACTGCTCCATATTCAACATAATTTGTCTAACACATCCATTTGCTAAAAGCATCTATTTAATGAAATTGTTACATAAATGATGACACAAGATAGAATTTTGTTAAATATGTATTTTTTGTTATTTTTATTTTTTTCAAACTACTACGTCCCATCTGGTTAAAACCCCTTAAATCTCGAGCCATCTCCCCGTTGGAAAATCATCTCTCGCTTCCTCTCTCAGCTGTAACACTAGTTTCAGTCTTTTTTGATGACTGATGATAGCTGCATATGTTGCTGAAAACCTAAAGCATATATATAATCCTAAAGCAATTTTTTTTTAATAATCTGAGGACTTTTTCCCCCCATGTGTTATGTGTTGACCTGAGCATGGCCCTAGGGCTCCAGAGGTCTTGTGAATTTAATTTCCTTAATCAAATCAAGACTTGGCAAGCTCTTGCAAACATCTAAATATTTATATTTTGCATTTTGAAAATGGACATTCCATTCTAAAGGGGGATTTAGAAGTATTTTAAGTTCATCAGAAAACACATGCTGTAGTGACAAGTTTTGACCTTCATGTGAACAAAATCGAAGATTTATTGTGAAGATCTGAAGCAGTAAAGATTAAAAGGGACATCCACAGTATGGAAATGTTACTGAATAGGCCTTAAAGGTCTGTGGAGAGACTGGGTTAAAATGTCAAAGAGCTCTTTATCTTCAAAGTTCTCTTAAAAAATCCATTTGACTCTTTTTCTTGGGACATAAATGTGTCCTGAAGAAGAGTTGACTTCAAATAATGCCACAGCAGAGAGACCACCTCGACATGCACAGCTAATGAGCCTTTCATAGGCAGGAAGACGGTAAAAATGCTATCTGCGTGAGTGTCCTGTGTGGGAACGTATCAGATGGTGTGTTTGAGGCACAGATAGTGGTACTTCACAGACAGAGACATCAATAGCCCTTCTGATTTTGTGGAAGGGGAATTCCCTAAGAAATATAATTAAAGCACTGCTGAAAAAGAAAAAGCATACATGTTCTGGCAGCTGTACATGTTGTATATGTGAGAAGAAGAGCTGTACTGTTCTTTTATCATCAAACATTTAAATATCACATTCATGTTTTGCAACAGGGCGTGATCGGTGAGCTGAGGGTGATGGGAGATCCCTTTGCTGCCAGCAGGCACTGTGAGGAGGATGAAGATGACTCAGACATTGTGAGTAACAACTTATCACATACATACTGGATGACTCACTACACTGAACTCACTGGACATATGGCATAAACTCGTCAGGAAAGTGTTTACAGAGGTAAAGCTTCAGTGCTGTTTTCACATAGAGTTCTATATTTCCAGGTTGGTGACTAGTCAAAAGAATGCCAGTTTAAACATTGTGTTAACATTGGCCTGCAAACTAACCTGGCATCATGCACTCAAGGTTATGCATGGTGCAAAGTGCCACAAATATCAGTATAATATTATTTGATCATAAGTTTTCCTCTAAAACTGTATGAGTAGTTTGATTTTTTTACAAAAAGGGTGCTGTGCTCACACCTGATTCAACTCAGATAAATGCAATGCTACCAGCATTAGCTATGTGTGCACAATAGTGGCTACATACTGCAGTGGTCTACACATTTACTTAGTAGACCCAAATCTTTTTGGTGTTCAATCACGAAGTCCACCTTGTGTAGAAATCTGTCAAATCAAATATACGTTGCTGCCTGTTGTGACGACTCTTGAATAAGGAGGCAGACAAATGTATGCTATGTGTATGTGGTAAAATTTAAACAGGCTGCACAGTTTGCATTCGCGCTTTTTGTCATTTTGCAGCTACCTTTATAGTTTGGACAGTATGGCTTAAAAAAAAATTAAGATGACGATAATTCCACTTTGTAAAAGTAATCCAATCCAATCCATGTTTAAGATCTGTAATAAAAAGTTTTAAGTAATTTTCAAGGCTTCAAATTCAGATAATTGCACATTAGAATTTTTTAAAGGATGTGCTGAATCCCAGTTAAAAAATGAAATGTCCCAGCTTTTGACCACTTGTGTCTTTTAACCACTAATATCAGGGATAATTAGCTAGCTAGCTATCTAGCTAGATAAAACTGTCTCTGGAGTAGTTTTTGGAACTGGCAAAATGGCCAGTTCCAAAAAGTTTCTACATTATGTTTATCACAGTCTCAAATCAGGGATTTTGTTCTATGATATCTTTTTTTTTTAGTTACAGCCAGCAGCATGTGTGTGCAGAAGAATGGACAGCTAATCATCGACATAGCCAAAGCTAATGATTTATTTCTGCAGTTTTGAATCAGTTAATCATGACTTTAAAGGAAATAAGAACATCCAAATCGTGGAAGAGATATCCTACAGTAACACAAGTGATGCCATTTTACTTAAAACTGATGCTTTAGTTCAGTATGCAACTTCACTTAAACCAGTAAGACCCTACCCATTAAAAATAGCCAGAAAATTCAAATTTTTTGGAACTGAGATGTTTATTAACCTTATAACTACCTATTATTTTTATTATATATTTTTTGTATCACATTTGATACATCGGGTGTTTTTGGCAACTTTTTGTTAACAACAATGTTAATTTTATTCAAAAAAAGAGAGTTTGTCCATAACATTTTGAAATTATGGCAACTATTAATCAAGTATCAAATATGATACAAAGGGCATCATAGGGTTAAAATCACCAGTAAATCTGTAAGGGCTGTAAGTCTGAGAGCAGCCTTTGCACCGCTGACCCTGACCACCCAGACACAAACACAGGTGCCTCGCCGCAGCCCACCAGCAGCCTTAACTGTTATTTAGTAAAACATTCACAGCTGTTCTGCTCACCCAGACCACCAAAACCATGTCTTTACTGACAGAATAAAGTTTGTAACTTTACTGCTTGTTGTCATCAAATCTTTTAGATGTTGTTTGGATTAGATGAGGGAAATCACAGGTTTCCCATTTCAGGATGTGCCTTTTATCTCCAATGGCAACCTAACAGCTGTTTCCATGTTTTGTCAACACATCAAATACGCTGATATATCAAGAAAGGTTGAATGTAATGGGAGTTTATTGTATGAAAGCTTCTTACTCTAAATTAGTATAGCAAATATGTATGCCTTTGACTTACTGGTGTTAATGCAGACATAAATTCTGTGTAACATGGAACCTAGCCAAGAAGGTAACACGAATACTAGATTTACGACAATAAACACAACACGGTCGAGCAAAAGAGGCCACATACGCTGTGACTGAGAGCGCAGGAAGGAAAGAGCTTCTGGTCTTAAACTATATATGCACACATATTTTATTAAAACTCTCCCACAGATCAGAACATTTCTTTGCACACAGTTAAAAAGGACATTTTCAGGTTTATAATGGTCAGAGCACTGAATAAAACCAAGAGCGTGGTCTTGTTAACAATAAAATGAAGTGTAAAAATGTATGATGGGTCTCCTCAGGCTTCAGGGGAAGGAAGCGGTTATGTGGAAACCAGACCCCCAAGACCAGGCACGGAAAAACACACATGGACGGTATGCAACATCTTTTGTGTATTCTCGAGTTTCTTTAGTTCCTATGAAGGTTTATCTTTGTCACTTTGCATTCTGCTTGATCGACTGCACTGCTATTATGCTTGTTCCTCTCGATGCACTGTTGTAAACATGCTAATGAGTTTGCTTTAAAGTTGTGGATCAAACGTGCACAAGAATGCATTAATACATCATGAGGATTCAAGCCGGTGATCAAGTAAGACACGGACATGGAGTGTGTGCAGCAGACTGTGCTTCTGTAAACTCAGTGTTGGAATATACCACCGATGTCTCAGATTACTCGATATAAGTGAGTGACCACTCATCCCCCCGTGGGAGATTAAAAACTGCTGAGTTGATGTCTGGAACACGAGCTGCTTCTGTCGTATACATTTAGGGACAAAGAGCTTTTACAAAGCTAATTTTAGGAGAGCATCATTCAAGGCATGGCTACATGGTGGTTGACAATGACCAGGTATGCTTTCCACATATAAACTTTAACTTGCCATGCAGGTAAGTCAGCTGTTAGCAAACTAGATTTGGAAATCATCTCTTTATCACTGACGCTTTACTGATTTACTAGTGGACAGTTGTCTTGACCTTTTTTTTTTTCCCCCCCCCAAACATTCACTCACAGCTAACCGGGTAGCTCGGCTCTTCCTGTCATGTCAGGTCGGCTAGCTTGCTGAGCCACTGTTGCTTTGGTGCTCATTCATTCTGGTCTTGTGGTCAGATGAACTCCAACTCTAGTGTCTTAGATGACAGCTGGCCAAGACACAAGAATCCCTGTTGTCCTCTTGAGATCTGCTGCAACACAGCAGAGCAGAACACGGGCTACAAACTGCAATCCAAGACCATGCAGCTGGGGTCCATCCATGTGATGAGAGTCCCTGTTAAGGCAGCTCATTCTATTAATCCATCATCTTGTGTTTTTGGACTGGAGTGTCTTATAAATGTATTATTTAAAACTTTTTTTGAGAAAGCATGCATGTGTAACCACAAAGATCAACACACAGATCAAAGCAGCACGCCTCCTCTGGTCTGTCCAATTTAACGTGAACGGAGCTGAGGCTTCAGAACCATTAGTCTGAGGTTAGAGACAATCTACTCTAAATGATCTTGTTTTTGTTTATTGGTGCCCTAATAAAAAGCAATAATTGCTTTCTGAGCTGTTACGTTCTGTGTATGTGGAGCTATCGCTGGTTCAACTTGTAACATGGATCAAACATGGCCCACAAACATTGCTGGGTTCACTTACATGCTCATGTTGTTCTGCGCATGCATCATCTACGACTATCTTTTAGTGACTTCCATCACCTCCCTTTTTGTCACTCTCTCTATCTGTAACCTCTTTGTCTTTCTGTCTTCCTCTCTCTGGTTTCTGTCTCTCTCACTCTCATAGATTCCACAGTCACCCACTCACAACTTCCCACCCTCACAGATAGCCACGCTAGCACAGTCCTCCACCCTGCACTGCCATGCGCTGTGCTTGCACGCATGCACTCCCACTCACAATTATAGTGAAGAGTTAGAAAAACCAGATGTCAATTTGGACTAAATCTGATCCAAGTTAGAGGCCCCCGGCCTCAAGGCTTTGTTATTCTGACTGGTTTCTCAATCAAACATGTGTACAGGAACTGACAGGGGTGGAAAGAAAGTTGGAGAGGGCAGGTACCTCCAGTCGGAAGTATCTCCATCATTACAGGCCTACATTCACTGCCTTAGTGCCTCGCAGCATTTACAAAGGGGTTTTTTTCCACCTTCGCAGACTTTTACTAGCATCATATAATATACAACGCAATTTAAAAGACAACAGCTGGCATTTAATGTCCACATGTTAGTGTTTTCCATCTGATGATGATGATCTGTTCACACAAAGTATAACTTACACTCTGCACAATTGTCCAACTGGTGCAATTTAGGCAAGTCTGGGCAAGGACACGTTAGACAGGGAGAGTTGTATAAGTGAGACTTTCCATTTTGTCATCCTGGAATTCACGGTGATAGATGGGAGAGCGAGTCAGTCATCCTTAACGCTGTCACAGCTGGGAGTGAGTATAGAAGAGTATAATGCTTGAAACAGTTCGGTGGATTTTATCAATTCTAAGTGTGAACAAGTGCACACTTCTCTCTAAAGTTCACGGGAGGACTTGATTCCTGGGTTTATCTCTACATGTTTCTCCCATTTCAACTATGCATTAGATATGAAAGCATGCAAATAACGGTTCAATTGTTCAGCAATGAAACCGTGAACCTGTGAAAACACAATTTTATATTTAGAAGGGAGAAAACGGTGAACATTCAGACTGATACACTGTATGAACCCAAATCATGTAATTAGATTAAATGGCGAAGATAAAAATCTGCAGAGATCGCTGTTGTGAAATGACCTGTAACTCCAATGTGTTGCCTTTCTAGATAACTGCTGAAGAAATCTCCTTTTTCATCGTACCTGTAACCGTGTCTCACATTTTGTTTGCAGAGGGGTTTTTAATGAGACGTAGCATTGTTTTGGTGAATTGTTTCTATTTAGATCATTTCTTCTTCTTTTTCTTTCTAATTCTAATTCTTCTGTTACCCAACACCCTGTTTGTTGCATTTTCTAAACACACGGGCTGTTTTCCCTTCGTCCTCAGGCCAACCTCAAATATGTGCAGATTTCAAGAAGTTTCTCTGTGATTCTTTAGAGCGCAGAAAAAAAAGAGGGGAGGAAAAAAAAAAAGAGGCTAAACTGCTGTGGAGGTGGGATATGCTCGTTGCTGAGGCAGCTGCATACCTGCTCTTAGATTCAGGGGGTCGTGTGGTTCAAATCCATCAACACTATGTTCTAAATGAGCCTCCCACCCGACATCCCCCACTATGATGGATCGGTGAAGAAGTGAACAAGTATGGTATTCTCCATCACATTGATGCAATTTAGAGGAGTCAATAATGCTCCAGCCAGATTCTTGGCATAGTCAGTGCTGTGAAACGCAGTGGGAAGGAGTTTGTCCTGCAGAGGAAACTAGTTAATTATCAACAGTGGCATCACTCTGGCCCTTCAGCTCCCCTCTCTTACATTCTTCAGCCCACTCCCCGCTCGAATTCCTCAGGTGACCATCTGAGGTGTGTCACCGGTGAAGAATGAGCCAAAGAGAGGGAGTATTTGCATTATTTCCTGTTGCTTTGGGAACATTACTGACCTCGCCTCAGCTGACCTTTAATTGTTCCTGTTGTGTCTCTAAGGCCCGCTGATTTTAGTAACACAGGATTGTCAGCAGACTGCATGCTGTCTTTTCTTGGTCCAAAAAACCTGCTCTGAACTTTTCTATTGAAGGGACAAAAACAAAGACATAATGAGTCTAATTCCGCTTGTATGCGAGCA